ATCACTACAATAGTACAAAAATGAAGAACAGTGGACTTTTTTATATATTTGTGTGTATGTACAGATACATATAAGGACATGTAGTTAACTTAGAACTTTTTATACAAGCAAAACATCCTAAGAACAGTTTGGAAGAGGAAGTATCACCCTTTGTGTGGCATGGGGCTCTACCCCAGTTTTGAAAGTGTCATTTCTTTAAGAAAGGAGAATTGAAAGCCTTTATTCCTTCCCAATGTTTTGAAAGTTTCCTTCTTACCTTAATGTGCTGTTAAGTTAAAATTTTTCTTTTTTGTTATATGGGGATTAAACCCAGAGAGTGTTGAGCTAAATCTCCAGTTCTTTTAATTTTTAAATTTTGAGACAGTTTCACGAAGTTGTCCACACTGGCCTCGAACTTGAAATCTGCCTGCTACAGGTATTCACCGCTATGTCCAGCTTAAGTTATAATAATTTTAAAAATTGTTTTGGGTTTTATGTGTGCATGGTGCTGGAGAATGAGCCCAAGGTTTCCTGAGTACATGCTCTACCACCGAGCTCAGTCATCAGATCCAAAAGGGCATAGAGTATGGAAAAATCAAGATTGAGAATGTTTTTTGCATCGAGCTATTCCTGTAACAAAATATTCTTTAAATAAACACTATTTTTATTGCAGTTCCATAGACAGAGAAGTGAAAAACATTCTAAATTTGAATGAATATAAATTTTATGAAGGTCTTGGAGGAAAATGAAATTAGACACACCGGTTTAGTCTTTTTTTAAAACAAATGTTTGTTTTGACTACTTTCAAACAAAATTTTGATATGATTTTATTATTTTTGAAGTTGTGTGCATTTTGTGACATGCCCTGGAGAGTAATGGGGGAAGAATTGTTCCTGGGGGAAAAAAAAAACAAGTCTCAGACTACCATTCTGTTTTAGCAATAAATAGGATACAGGAGACCCTTTTTCATCTTGATACAGGTAAAATGTGTATTCATATGAATATAATTATAAAGCAATATTTTATATAATAGCTATGCCTATGTTCTGGGAATGCCTTATGAAGTATGTGTATAACATTTTTCTACTGTTAGTAGCTCAATAAAATGGCTGCCTTTTCTCTTTCCTATAGTGAGAATTTTTTTTTTTAATGGATAGCAGTCCAATTAAATCTCTTATTGCTTCAGTCATAGAAAGCCAGTTTATATTGGTCTGGAACTTAGCTCTCTTTTCATGAGATAAGTTAACAGAAAATTCCTTTTCCATTGCAGCAGAGAGGTGGCAGATACAAGCTTAACCATATATGTCAATCTGTTAGCATATTCTTATATGTGATTTTAAAAATATTTCTGAGGTCAAAGTTTTAAGGCTTGATTAATGGTGAGAAAGGAATGTTTCAGAACTTATTTGCTTGTAACCTACCATTTACATATAAGACAAAGTCCAGGAATATTAAATATTTGTGTGGGTAACCAAAGGGTCTGTCACCATCAGAGCACAAGTGACAAATGCATGTCACAAATCATTTATTTCAAATCATAGACAAATATATACTTCACTTTGGCAGCAAAGATTGTAGTTCAGGTGAAAAATCAGTTTTAAAATAGAAATTTTATCAACTGTTTTATGCTTGTATTAATGCTTTTTTTTTTTTTTTGGTACTGGGGATCAAATTCAGGACCTTTCATTTACAAGGCAGGCACAGTGGCACTGAGCTAAATCCCTGGCCTGTATTATGCTTTTAACATTCTTGTGTTATAAGTATAGTAATAGTGGGGCCATAAAAATATACATATAATATTTGAATATTCTTTATGAATTTGAGGATGAAATATAGTTGTACATTTACTTATATAACCTATTAGTTTTATTTTTGGAATTAAATGTAGTCATTAGTAACTAAAGACAGACACTGAGGCTTTAGTAATCTACAGCCTAACTTTTTCAGCTAGACAAATATGGAGCACTTAATATCTGCTTAGCACTAAACTAGGCACTTAAAAGTAAGGTGGGGTAATGGTGTAAGATAGCTTCAGTGTTCCATGATCCTTAGCTGCTGAGTTAAGTCATTTGCTTACTAAAAAAATGTGGTATTACCTAATTCAGTGTCAGAATGAGTTATTTCAGAGTTAACAGACCTATGTCATCTGAAATAAGTATGATCTGAGAGCTGTTTGACTGCAGGCTTGAGCATAGCAAACACTTGAGATTAACAGTAAGCATGTAGATTTAGTATGTGTTTCAGAGAGATTCAGGTACTCCTGTGTCAGAATCCTTAGCTGTCAATCAAGGATTACTTTTAGAAAGTTGATAAAAAGAGATGAGAACACAAATTATAACAATGGATCATGGAAATGTCAAAAACTGCCAGGAAAATCCTACTCTTTGGCATAGGAGCATAATTGTGGTGGAGCTCTGTTTTGGTTATTTCAGTTTTGCAGGCAAGACCTCAGTGTTTTTCATAATTAAGACCTAGGGTGTATAGGCAGAGGAGAAATCTGCAGAGATATGGAAGATACAGTTAAGAAAGGAGAATTGGTGCTTATTTTACGTGGCCCACTTTCATTCATGAGCCTCCATTGTCTGCACAGTCATTGACATGGGGTGGCATTTTATTACTCCACTGTTGTTCAGACAGCTTTATCCTCAAGAGAATACTTTCTGCCTGGAGAGTGTGGTCACTTCCTTCAGCTCCCTGATTCTTTGATGCCTTCTAATAATCCTATTATCTTGCAAAATAATGACAATTACAAATAGGTCACTGAGAGGAAGTTAACCTCTATCCCAACATCACATGTCTTACTGAATTCTTACTCTGACCCTTTATTGCCAGATAAATTTTTAAAAAAATCTTAACAGAGTGATAAAATTCATGATCATTTCTTTTCACTTTTACTGAAGCTTCTTGAAGTACTGTTATAAAGCCAGGTTGCATATTTTAGGTTCTTTTCTATATCAACTTTACTGATAAGAATTTGCTATCCAGATTTCTTATAATCTAAAAAGTATAAAATGGTAGTGGGTATAGTTCTTGTGTTTATTTTAGACGTATTCTAAATAATAAAATAATTTCGTGTAGTATTCTTATATAACTAATTCAGAAGTGAGAAGCTTAAATAAAAATTTTATGTTGCTGGCAAAAATGAGGTGTTGGTCAGTTATGAGTCACATGCCTCAGTGACATTTTGGTCAATGACAGACCACTTTGGGGATGTCATGGGACAGTCTCCTAAGGTTATAATAGAGCTAAAAACTTCCTACTGCCCAATGATGTCACAGCCATCTTGGTTTGTATAAGTTCACTCTGATGTTCACATGCATTTCTCCACAAATGCATCCCCGTCATAAGTGACATGTGAGTGTAGTAGATTGTAAACTGCTCTACATGTTTAAGCATTGTGTCCTCCCCAAAATCCCAAAGACTCAATCATAATACAGTATGTAGTTTATTCTCAAAATGTGATAAGCAACCAAGTTTGGGTGCAATGTAGGCAGTAGGCTGGGTTCTCTCACTTGCCAAACACCTGTCTCACATTCATTCTGAAGGTAAGTGTAAGGTTGGTGCTGTAACCATATTCACAACTATGTTCAAGTCCATGGGGGCGGGGGCAGAGGGAAGTGAGGGAGGGAATTTAGCAAGCCTGAAAGCCAAATGATAAATCTGGAGAGACTTGTTTTGCTTTGCTTCACTACTCTGCATAGTTTTGGCTTTACCCTGGCTAGTAACTCAAATTTTAACCCATGATAAGCCAATCCAAACCATTTGCCCATTAGTTTATAGAGACTTCATAGACTGTTTCCAGGATATTTTGTTCATTTGTTTTTTTTGGTACCGGGATCGAACTCAGGTCCTTGAGCTTGCGAGGCAGGCAGCGGATCCACTGAGCCAAATCTGCAGCCCTGTTCCCAGGATATTTAAAAAATGGGATAGCACTATGAGTTTATTGCAAATTATTTGGTTAAAAGGAAACCTGTAGCACTATACAAACAATATTAAACGAGTACAGTCCTAATTCTTTTGGCAAGAAAATGGTAGTTTAACTTTCAGTGACACAAAAGCTTTGCTGTATACATTTGACACTTCTGTTTTCAGAATATAATAAAACATGAAAAATGTCTTAAAATTTAACACAAGAATGGAAAAATAAAGTTTGGGATTTAGAGGAAAACATTTCATTTTTAAAGTTATAATTTGCTTCATACCAATATTAAGAATCCATTAAATACACTTAACTGGGTGTTGTACAGCAAAATTTAAAAAAAAAAATTTACATCAAATTGCAAATATGACTTAGATCCATAGCTCTTCGGTTAATGAGAAATGAAGATGAAACTATTTTACATGAAAGTCTAACCCATTTTAGATGTTCAGAGTATACATTTTAAGTTTGTCTTCAAATAATGAGATAGAACAACTAATCCACAGCAAGCTCATTAAAAAGGTATGGCTAATAAATATACAAATACAGTGTCAGTACAAACCCTGCAAAATAAATAAAGCTACCTTAAACACAAAACTACTTCTGATTTAAAAAAAATGATTAGGTTTTTTTGTTAAGGTATCACAACTCATCATTCTAAAAATCATTTTGTGAAAACCAAAAATGGAATAATCTGTGAATATATGAGCAATAACCTTTGCAAAAAAACTAGCATTTTTTCTATATGTAAAAATTGTAAAGAAAAGTACACTGTGGTACACAGTATAGTAACTGTTGATTACTTTTAACGAATCTTACAGAATTTATTTACATTTGCAATGCCCGGTAGCTTTCAATTTTCAGCCATAAAATGTGTGGCTAAACTATGTGCTTTGCTCATTTTCAGATCTCTGTGCCTCTTGTTCCCAGTACTCTAGCTTGGGTCAGCAAACTCTGGTCCTTAGGCCAAATTCAGCCTACCACCTGCTTGTATAGTGCCCTTGAACTAAGAATAGTTTTTACATTTTTTTTTTCTTTTTTCTTTTTGCTTTTAGTACCAGGGATCGAACTCAAGACCTTGCACTTGCAAAGCAGGTGGCACCACTGAACTAAATCCTCAGCCCAATCTTTACATTTTTTAGTGGTTGAAAAAAATCAAAAGGATATTTGTGATACGTGAGAATTATATGAAATTCCAATTGCAGTGTCCATAAATGTTCACGGGAATACAGCTAGTTTCATTCATTTTTTCTGTTGTCTGTGCACTTTGGCAGAGTGTGCAACTTACAAAATAGTTACAGCAGAGGCCATATGGTCTCCAACCCTAAAATATTTCCTGTCTGGCCCTTTGCAGAGAAAAGTATGCTGACCTTTTTATTTTCTAAGAGAATTACTGCAAACTTAAGGATGTTTCTTCTCACTGCACGTACAACAGCATTTGTAAAAGGGAAGTCCCACGTGCTTCACCGCTTTGTTAAATCAGTAAATTGGTTGGTGGCCATTCACCCTGTCCTATTTCACTTGTCCTTGGCATGGACTTCACATCTTGTGTAAAGGTTGCAGTTCAGATGTCATCAGTTTCCAGTTCAAATCTAATGAAAATAAATTATATTTCTTTCCACCATGTTCATTCTTGGCTTTAACTCCTTGCCAAAAGATCTTCACCTGTAACATAGTATACACAGCCTTATTAGTGTATTGAACATGAAGAAGCAGAAATATTTACAGCCTATGAAGAGTTCTGGGTTGTTGAGCTAAGCGAAACCCACAACTCTGATGGCTGTGTTTGGGGGAATCTATTTCCTACAAACCCAGTGCTAGAACATGATGTTTCCAGGAGTAGAACATTAGAAAAAAATTTTTAACAATTGCATTCAAATAAGTCGTTTAACTTTTATTATTTTTGAAACTTTAGATATCATTTTACAACAAATAACATGAACAAAATACTGCGTCAGTAGCAAAAACACTGACCTTATGAGCACATTCAGAAAGACTAAGTGTTCTTAGAAATAGCATTTTAAAGGAGGTGAGAACACAGAATATAAATACAGTTTCACCAACGGCTGTTTTTAAAGAAAAGCTTCCCCAGTTTTAAGTAAAGGTGTGAAGTTAAGCAAATGATTGTAAATCTCTGCTTGCTTCAGGAAACTTTTAAAAATTTTATTTTATTTTTTGTACCAAGGATCAAACTCGGGACCTTGTGCTTGTGAGGCAGGTGGCAGAAGCACTGAGCTAAATCCCCGGCCCTATGGAAAATTGAATCTGAAGGCCATCATCTAGATCACTGCCACTCTTCCTGCTCTCCTAAAATAGTAATGTCATCATGTTATGCATATTATTTTAAGTTGCATTTCCGGTAGAGTTGTATTCCTCTGTACTCATTGCAGTCTTGGGGTACACAGAGGGCTGCTTAAATGTAAAGTAGTACATTTCTGATCAGCCTTAGTGTAATTTTACTCCATCAAGACTAAAATTACAATATAGACGTGTGTATGCCATTATCACACCTGTAATACATTTGATGCTAAGTTCTGGGCATGAAAACAATATTTTAAATGTTGATTAGTGTCTTTATGGCAAGCTCCCAGACCCACTATGATTGTGAGTCATTTTCTAAAAGTTAGAGGGGCTCATTGTTGGTGCTTAGTCTTAGAATCCATTTGGCTCTTGCAGGAGACACTAATACCTCAGCAGCACGGAAGCAAACAAGAAAACAAGTTTGGGCTTTAACATTTGGGATACCAGATTTATCTCAACAGAGAGTGCTGAACTTTATCGGAGCTACATGATTGCACTAATACTGTGATCTGATGCTATGTGGTGTCAATTGTTGCAACAGCTGTGAGATTTCTTCCTGATGAGTCTTTTCTATAGAAACTCAACAACCCTGAATTTCCTGGCATAGATGGATGTGCATACACTTTGGAGGGGGTGGTTTCCTGTATTTGGCCTCACTCGATATTTTGAAAGCCTTGTAAATGTAGTCTGGGGCACCAATTATTTTGGGAGATGCTCCTTAAACACAGAAACACGGTCTCAGTGTGTTGGGCCTTCTTTTGGACGGGTATAAATCAAATTTGGCTCCCTAAAGAAGTATCTGGATTCTTCAGTTGTGAACTTCTGCGGTTTTGCAACTTTATTTTTTTCCTATTAAGTTTATTGGTACGTTGAAAGCCAACAATACGGTTACATTCATCATTGGGATCTTGTACCTGTACATGATGTATCTTGGTTCTTGTTTTTTCCCCATTCCCCTGTGTTCCCTTCACCCCCTTCACTCTTCCTTATTTACAGTTTTGCACCTTTAAATGAGAAATCTCAGACAGTGATCATCCAGATGGTAAAGCTATGTGGTATAAGCATCAGTGTCTTCACTCTGCTGTTGGTCTCTTGTGAGACAGATGAAAAGTGCGCTTTAATGATCTCAGGATCATTAAGAAACTGAGTAAAGCCAGGCACAGTGTCATGTGCCTGTAGTTCCAGCTACTCAGGAGGCTTATCTGAGCCCAGGAGTTCAAGGCCATCCTGGGTAACAGCCAGACCAGTTTCAAAAAATCACTTAAGTGAGAAGTAGAAATATGTTTGGTTCCTTTACATGCTTTTATTCAGATTCCATATAAATAATCTGCTTTAAGACACAATGAGCTTGATATATCATATAAAGGTACCAATTCCCAATGATGAATAGCATCATACTGTATATCTCAAATGTACCAATAAACTTAATAAAAAGAAGATACAATGAGCAAGGGTCAAGGATGTAGCTCAGTGGCACTGTGCCTGCCTAGCAAGTGCAAGGTCCTGAGTTTGATCCCCGATACTGCAAAAAAAAAAAAAAAAAAAAAAAAAAAAACAATGAGCTGGATATGGTGTGCACACCTGTAACCTGAGCACTTGGAAGGCTGAGGCAGGAAAATCACTATGAGTTTGAGGCCAACCTGGGCTACATAGTTAGTCCAAGGGAAACCTGGAGTACATAGTGAGACCCTGTCTCAAAACAAAAAGATAAATTTACTCTGTATGTGAATGTCAAGTAGCCTGGCAACACCCTAAAACACTACATTTTCAAGATGGAGGCTATTACGTTATTTTGCTTTCTTTTTAACTATCATATCCTGGCTGCAATATTTTTAATTGAGGCAGAAAGCCTCAATTGTTATGCTAAATCGAACCTATTAGAATAACATAAAACTAGGAATCCAAAGGATAAAAGCTGAATGATCTATTAGATCCTTTGAAGAATGTTCATGTGAGTTATTAATATTTAAGACAGTCCTGTGTTTGATGAAATAAGGCTGTATGGCACTTTGGTCAAGTTGGTTGCCTTGTTGGGATTTTGCTTATTTATATAATAAGGGCTAAAAAGTTAAAAGCTCATGATACTACTGGCTTCAGTGCCCTTGTTCTTTTTCAAGGCATTGTTCCCAGCTGCCTTCAGGGGATATCCTTGTGGAGAAGACACAAGACACCATGTGAACTATGCCTAGTAAAGTAGTTTCAGTTGAGCCTTGTCTCAGAAGGCTACAATAACTTTGAATACCTGGTGAAACATGCTGCCCTTTAGTCACAGTTGATTATCCATTGTGTCACTGGAGGCCAAGCTACCTACAGGTTTCTCCTCCTTATTTTGGACACTTTCTGAGGCCACGAGCTGAGGAGATAAAGTGAGTCCCCGGGGCTGCTTGGTTGACTTGGTGAGCTTCTTGAGTTCACTTGCAAAAGAGATGCCCTTTCTTTTATCTTCTCGAGATGCCTGTGGTGAAAAAGAATTTTTCCTTGGTTGAAGGTCCTCAAAAGCACTATGTCAGAAAGAGCCCTTTCCACCTCACTTCTCTGGTAAGGAGGGCTCTGGGAAGGACCAAGTGACTCTCAGGGCTTAGTAGCCACACAATGAAACACATTTTCCCCCCACACAGTGAAAACAAAGCCCAACAATTTTCTCCCAACTAAATTTGACTTAAGAATTTTCTTCTCGATTTTACTAGCTCCCAAGTCTGATCATAACATGATTATGAATATGAGGTGTTTTAATGAAAAGAGCAAAGTAACTTTAAACTTTACCTGCACCTGTTCCTTTAGTTTAAGAATGAATTTCCCTGCACCTTTCCACTTGCTTTGGGCTTGAAACACACACTCCTGGTCCAAAAGAACTCTCTGTGAAGACTTTGGAGTAGAAGACTTCTTGTTGGGTGTGTCTTTCACTACCTCTTCCAAAAGCACATAGTCACCTGGATTGGGGTTGCTCAGGATGCTATAGGAATATTTGGCTTTGCATAATGTCTGAAAGATAAGTTATGACCAACTGAATAAAGTATCTTCAACATGTGCAATCATTCTAATTAAACTTTAAGGTGGAGGGCTGGGGAATTAGCTCAGTGGTTCTGCCGCCTATCTTGCAAGTGCAAAGTCCCAAGTTCAATCCCCAGTACCAAAAATAAAAATAAAAATAAACTTTAAGGTGGAAAAGTGGCACACAGTTTTATAGAGGGAGGGAGGGGACCTTCCAGATGTCATCTAATTCCTCCTTTTACATTTGTTTAGTTGTAGCTTATAACACACTTTCTCAGATTATTTCACTTACATCCAGAAATCTATGATGTAGATGAGGAAGCATAAGCTTATAAAAGCTAAGCAGATTCTGGATGAGGAATCAAACTTATTAAGGTTAAGATTTCAGAGTATGAACAGCTCATAAATAACAGACTAAAGACTTGCCCTGGATTTTCTGCACACACATTCAAATACATGGACATGAAGGTCATGCAGCCAGTGAGGAACATAATCCTGTCCCTCGGAGACTCCCTGTCCTATAAGGCTGCCTCTGTCACAATTTTAGATGTTGAAGGAATTTTAGTCAGATGGTCTCCCTTTTTACTGAGTACACAAATACTTTTGTTTACTCATTTATTCATCAGATAGGTGCTGAGGCCCTGCTGTGTCTCAGATACTGTGCTGTACTTTGTGGAGACGGAGATGAGCAAAAGAAATAAAGATCTTCCAAAAAGAATCAACAACTGGGATCTCAACTTATCAAAAAGCTTCTGCACTGGAAGAGAAACAACCAACAGAGCTAAGAGACTGCCAACATTGTGGGAAAAAATTTTTACCAGCTGCCCCTCAGACAAAGGTCTACTATCTAGCATATATAAAGAACTTAAAAACAATCAGACTCCCTAAGTTAGACCCAATTCAAAAATGGACATTTGAAACGAACAGACATTTTATGACAAACAAGTAGATACAGCAAATAAATATGAAAAAATGTTCAGCATCACTGGTCATTTGAGAGATGCAGAAGAAAATAACACTGAGATTCCACCTCACCCCAGAAAGAATGGCTGCTATCAAGAAATCAACTAATAACAAATGTTGATGGGATACTTAGTATCCACAAGAATTTGGAGTGAAGGATAATATTTCCTAGCTTTAAGAGAGGATAGCTAGTGGATAGAGTGTTTATTGTGAGAAAACAAAAACCTCAATTTGATTGTGATCACGGTTGTACAGCTCTGTCCATATGCAAAAATCCACTGAATCATAAAACTTAAGTTTGTAAATTATATAGTATACATAGTTTAGTTCAAGAAAGCTGTTATTACTACTACTACTACTACTACTACTACTACATCAGGGATTGAACTCAGAATTTTGTGCTTACAAGGCAGGTGCAGTGCTACTGAGCTAAATTCACAGCCCTATAAAACTGTTATTTTAAAGAAAAAATATTTTTTTAAAAAGACATATTCTTCCTTTTTGGGTCCCCCATGTTCTAGAATTTTATTTAAAAAATGAGCTGTCATAAGCATCTGCTTTGTCCCAGTAAATTACACTGACAAAAGGACTGAAAGAAAGAATTTTCCTTTCCTTTCTTTTTTTTTCCCTCTTCTTCTCAACCCTTTTCTTTCCCCTTTCCTTTTGCTCTTCCCTTTCCCTTTTCTCCCTTCTCCTCTCTTCTCCTTTCCTTCTCCTGTCCTTTCCAGTCTCCTCTTCTGTCCTTTCCCTTTTTTCTCCCCTCTCCTCCCCTCCCCTCCCCTCCCCCTCCTCTCCTCCCCTCTCCTTTCCATTGAACCCAGGACCTTGTACATGCCAGGTAAGCAACCTGCCACTGAGCTACACATCTGCTCCCCTCAGAGAGGCTTTTACCTGCTGAATGACATCCTGGGCAGTGCTGACACGGGGTGCTTTGATCACTGTTCTAGGTTGCTCTGGAGAAACATCATGCACTTGGACAAAGAAACTCTCCTCTGAGGTCAAGATCACCTCTTTGTCATCCTGAACAATGCTTTTCTCTTTTAGAGTCTAAGTATAAAAAGAAAAACATGGAATAATTGGTAAGGTGATACAGAATAAAGCAAAAGCAAAAATGTGAGTTGTATCTTGGTGATGTGGAAACAACTTCAGGTGCTCACTTCGTACATTAGTCAATATTTTATGACTACTTTAAAAGGACTATACCTGTCTTCTGATGCATCTTGCTGCTGTTGATACTCATCAAGTCTGGCCCAGAGTAAGCTAGTTCATCTGGTCTTATTAGCTGTGGATTTTGAAAATCCAAATCAACTAGGTAAATTCCCAGAAAGAGAAATACCATTTTGCCAATTAGCAGAAGTCAAATAAAAACACAGAAAATTTTACTGAAGAGAAATCCACTCATTTGCACTTAGATCTCGGGCATGAAGAAATGCTAAACACCTGAAATGTGGTACGATGCTGAGCCAGACTGGAAGGAGAAAACCCACAGTGAAAGGGCTGAAATGTTTTCACAAATTCTCGCTAATTATGAGAACTGATTGTCAAATTAATCAGCATTTGTTGAATTGGTATCCATAGATCTCTACAGATATATACATATTATGTAAAGATATATGCATGTTACTAAATTTTTTCAAACAGCATAGGAGTAAATGAACAAAGCAGAGTCTATTCTCATCTTTTTCCTATAATCACCCCCCCACAACCCCCCCACAAACCCACTGTTGTTAGGGTACCTTTTGAAACATGCACCACATATCATAAACACGTTTCGGTAGGTGAATGAATACATACAAACCCTGGAATTCTGTGAACTGAGGCACTGTGTGATTGGCAGACAGCTCCTGTCCTCTGTCAGCCCCCTTTCTCCAAGGGGAGTAGCTTACAGTTATCCTGTGTAAGGGCCGTAGTATGAGGAGAGGCGAGGCAAGTGAAGAACAGGCAACTCCACTTCAGGTGTGAGACTTAGCGGGAAAATCCTGCTCTCAGCATTCTCCTCACATAATCTCCCCAGACAAAGCTGTTGAAATGGTCCTAGCTAGAACTGCCTTCACTGCCCTGGAAGGTCCAGCCGTCCTGTGATCCAGAATTGTCCTCGTGGATATTAAAATCAAGATGGAAAACTGCCACCAGGTGGTGCCATTCTGTACCCAAGACCAGAAAGGACTGCTCCTGGAGCTTGGGAGCCATCCACAGACCTGCAGTCAAAGCCCTATAATTTACGTGAGTACAGTTTTTGAATCTTGTTTGTTATATAATGGTGGTGGAAGGAAGGTTATCTATTTTTATTGCATACAATTGTACCCTCACAACATCCTACAACTTTTCTCCCAACTTAAAAGACTGCTCATCATTTCACATCCATTCTTAGCAATCCTACAGCATAGTAAGATGTGACTGCAAGAGATGTCACTGCATTGTTCATCATCTATTTAGGCAGTCACAGTGAAGCCAGAGGTAATTCACATGACAGAATTTAGAATTCCAATGTCCCCAAAACCAAAAAGCAATAAATAAAAGCAAAATAAAAAGGTTCTACGTTGCCACAGGTCCAACAGCAGTGCATCATTTTTAGGAGAGCTCCTGAGAGCCTCACCAGAGCTTATTTACACAGGTTTTCAGCAAAGTTGAAAAGCAGAAGATAATAACAACAGCCCTCCTTTTTTACTTAGTATTTTTGTACATATTATCTACCTGTCTGACGCAAGTCAAATAGGGTCATTTCTACTACAGATTTTACAAATTAGGGCATTGAGGTTTATAGAAGTTAGGTGATCTGTTCAGCATTATCTAATTTGTGGCAGAGCTGAGGCTTGCCCAGTTGTAACCCAGAGGGTAAAACAGATCTTTAAAAATTTGGATTTTTTTCAGTGTGAAAAATGTACCTAAAAATTTACCTTGACTTAGTACAATTTTTTTATGTTTTATAATGTTCTTTGACCTATTAGTCTAGTTGTCAATCTGTATATATGATAATTAACTTTATAAGTTCTTATAAACAAATGAATCTGATGCTGGAAAAATAAAAGGGAGTAGAGGGGAAAAAGGAAGGGAAGTGAGATGTGTTACATACATGTAACCCCCACAGCGAATGTAATCATTATGCACTGTAAACATGAACTGATAAAAGTAAAAAAAAAATAGGACTTTTTTTCTTTTAGAGAGAGTTGGGTTCTCCAGCTTCCGCATGCTGAGAGCATACATTGTTACCCCTTCCTTTCGCAAATCAGATAACTGAACAGAAAAGTAACATCTCTGTCAGAGAAATTA